TATATATGTATATATTTATACGCATACATATATTTATATATATATGTGTGTTTGTGTTTGTGTATACATATATATATATGTGTGTGTGTGTGTGTTTGTGTATTTATGTATGTATATGTGTATGTATATATGTATATATATATATATACATTTGATATATAAAGGTATATTTATATATGTGTATGTATATATATGTGTATGTATATTTAGTTATATACATAGTTATATTTGTATAGTTATATATGTGAGTGTGTGCATGTGCTTATATACATATAAATAAATATATGGATGTGTGTGTATGTGAATGTGTATTCGTGTGTACACATTTGAATTTGTATATTTTCAAAAATATATATACATTTAAATTCATATACACCTATATATCTATATTTTAAAACATAAATTACATATCTTGATTGATTCATATATTTATTTATTTTATTGATATATATTTATATATATATGTCTATGTAGCTAAACCCTGAATGCATATGTATATACATATATATGTATATGTCTATGTATATATATATACACTTATATCAATATGTATGCATATTATATATATATTATTATATTATATATATATTTATTATATATGTATATATATATATATATATATATATGATATCTATATATGTTTATATATATATATACATATATATATATATATGTTTGTGTATGTTTGTATGTATATAGATACATACGGATATATACTCAGATATATATATATGTATATGTATAAATATATATAAATGGAGATATATATTCAGATATATGCAGATATATATATATATACATATATATATGTGTGTGTGTGTGTGTGTACGTATGCTTATATATATATATATATAATACACAGTATATGTATATATATATATATATATTTACTGTGGATTATATATATATACTGTATATTTGTATTTATATATATATATTTGCTGTATATTTACTGTATATTTATTTATTTATTTTATTGAGGCCTCGCAAAATGAGTGGCCTGATACACGCTTTCAAAGTGTTTTAATTAACTTGATCAGATACCAGCTTATCTGCACTGTCACGAGTGCCTTTTTACTGCTATGTACGACTAAAGAGCATGGAAAATCTTTTCCATCACGTATGTAATTCTTGTACACAGAACGTACGTTAAACGTCTTACACATGAGCTACCATCAGATATACTTTTTTATCAAATTGATATTCCTTGATTACATTCAGTTCTAGGCAACGCCATCATCCCTTGGTCCTCCAGAACTTTCTGTATCCTTTTGTTTTCAGTTTCCTTTTCCATATATTTCAAATATTCAGGACTCTTCACAAAGCTAAATATTAGATTGCGGCTGACCATTGTGGCTATTTCATTAAACTCGTCTTCGAAGAGTATCGCCACGTCCACGTAGTCATTTCTTTAGATGTTGCGTATGAGCTTATCTCGCATTTCATGTGGCAAATTGACCTCCTTGTCACTATCCGGCCGTACATATTCATCCGCGATATGTACCACCTTTTCCCCTAGAGTATGGTTGGTACTATCCTTCGAAGTCGTACACGACAGGATCTCGATTAGAAATTCAACCTGTTCTGTGCAGTGGCGTCGTTGTGCGTACTGCAGGAATATTTCTCTCTGTAGTTGCAATGATGAGATGGGACAAGATGTGAAGAGGGGCAAATGCTCGGCTAATGCTGTAATAAATGTATATAAGAATCGCTACTTCAAACGCATATGCAGCGACTATAAAAGTATAGAGTATACAATATTAAATCACACATACAGTTTCTTCTGATGCCAGGAATAGTAGCAGTTCCTTAGCATTTTCATGGGCTCTGAAGTGCGGGCCCTGTAGATCGATGTTGTCTAGTATATCACCTCTATTCAGCGCTCGGGCCACAACTTTCACAATTATAAACAGAAATTGGTCGATTCCGTACAACCAAGCAATATAGCAGTCAACCAGCCAGGTTGCCATAGTAACCCGCCAATCATCCCCGCTCACCAGCCCATAAATCACTGGACCCCAAAACCCCAATTGAGATATAATAATACAAAGCGTAGATTACCGTACCAATCAACAAAGTACATAGCAGCATGTCGAGTGCAGAAAAGGTAATAGGCGTATTGTACGAGGAGCGCAACGCCGAAGAATATCGGTCCTGAAAGCTTTTGAGCGTTCGTGCACGCTACATCGGCGTACTCGCACACGAACAGGGGCAATGCTACAGTTACGCAGAAGAAAACTACGTGTTGTATCACACCCGTCCAGTATTTAGGTCGGGTTTGTCGCTTGTGGAAGACCAGGTACATGAATCGCATACGATTGACAAACGTAGAGAAGATCATCGCGAATCCGAAATAGTACAGTATCGTAAATTACTGCTGCACAGAAGTGAGTAATAAAGCCGCGGTGACGTGACCGAACTTCAGGCTCGTTCCAGAAGATGTAGAAGAAAATTAAGAGCAACAATCCGTACACACGTGTGCTCATGAATATGAAACAGGCATACGCAAACACTCGATCTTGCTTCCCCTGGGGATCAGCGAAAAGTGCCTGCTGGTACTCTGTGATAGAACCCAACTGGCTATACATCAGATAGCAAAATACTAAAGTCAGGCATATCAGTATAGGATACACCACCGCCGCCAAAATCCAGGAGTATTTCTGAGATATCAAGAATGATTTTCGCTGCCTTTGTTGGTGGTCCTTTTCCTCCGAAGAAATGTAAGAATCAGTATTGGGCCTATATTTGCTGTTGCCCCTTTTATGTTCCTTTTTCTGCCCATGAATTGAATTGAAATGAATGTAAAGGTCATATATCTATACGTGTTCAATTCGAATCAATCGGATTTGCCTTATATATTATTAACGTTGCTAACATTTAACTACGAGACTGTTTTATTCATTTGAGTTGTATTTCCAATTAATGACGAGAGTCATAATCAATATCAAGGCTAGCACCTAAGTCATGCACTTGCACATGCTAGCGTCAGAGAGAGAAAATAGAGTTTACAATGCGGCTGATGTGCATATTATTCACGACCATGTTTCTCATACATCATTTACACCGTTGAACGTGTACCTCATCAAAGTCACCTGGATTGTGAATCGAAGAAGTTTAAACAAATAATACTTATATAACGATATACATACACTTTGTATACGTCCATAGAAATCAATGTTTGAATAAAAATTTTAAACGGAGGTACGAGATAAATACTTTGAGGAGCAGGTCGAGTGTGGTCTGCTTCACGTGATTACAGTGTCGAAATTTGTGTGTGCGTGACACGTGTATTATGACTGCGTAAAAAACAATGGTCACTTTCTGAAGGAAAATATAATCCAATACTCGAAGTACCACCTTTTCGAGTTGTACACAACTTGCAAGTCCATCTCTTCAACAAAAGAAATTAGATGATGCAATTGAATAGGTACGCCACTAGATGTTCTGCAGCAAACACAATTCTACTCAGATGCAGGAAATATATTCGCAATTTACACTAGCATGTTATGCATTTTATCAATCTGACAAGCTGAAATGTGATATCCCAAATGAGCCGTATTCTTGAATTTAAATGCATCTCATAATGTGTACACACCTCTTTCATCGTCGGCATATAGGCTTTTATTTCACCATCTGCAATATGTCCCGATGACGACAAAACAGTAGCATCTTCCACTACAGACGCATAATTTGTATATTTAGGGATATAACTAGACATGGTACTTATCTCTAGCGTGTGATTGTATGATAGAACCTTAATATTGAGAGTAGTGGAAGTAAGAATTCGAGACAGATATCTCAACAAAGAGACATAAAGACGTACTCGATCAAAATATGTAAGACTGTATTTCATTTCTTGCCTGTTTTTGTTGAACAACTTGCGGAAGTCTCAAACTTCATATTCATATTTTGTTTTGAAAAAACAAAAATCAAATTGATTTTGAAGGCAATGACTACTTTTTACTCTATAAATATATGTAAATAAATAAAAGAGGAAAGGGTAGAAACAACGAACAAATAAAATTAATAAATTGGCTTTTCAGAAATAAATATTTATGTCATATCTCATCTTTTTGTTGTACAAAAATATAGAATTTTCCTCGAAAACAAACAAATCAAATACATATGATAAAAAACAGCTGGGAGGCCGCAGGGACTGAAAGCGTTTCATTAAAGAGGATATGTACAGTAGTTCATTTGTTATTTATATAAATATTTTTATCGTGTAAATCAGTCCCTGTTTTTTTGTTTTTTTTGGGTGGGGGGGGGGGGGGTTAAAATAGTAATTCCTTATTTGGTGAAATAAATAGCGTCGCGGACGTTATTTGGCGACAGACAAAAAATCGGTGATATTTGTCGGCAGGGACTTTTTATTTTAAAACGGAAAGCTTACGTAAAGAGGGTAGTTCATTTCTTTTTAACATATATTACTTGTGTGTGAAACTGGAATCAGCATAGCGACATAGCCTCCTAAAAAAAGACATTAAATAAATAGATATGGGAGGGCGGGCAGGGTGAGGGTCCGAGGGAGGCTATAGAATCAGTCCCTTTTTTTCTTTTTTTCATGACACTCTCTAGAGAGAAGAAATAAAATAATATGCCTGATCGAGTTATCGGTCTAATGTCCGAAGGATTTTTTCATTCCATACTATATTTCATATATATATAAAATGAAATATAAATTACAAAAAACAAAAAATTTGATTTGTCGTACATACATAATTCAATTTTTCAGTTCAATTTTCAGAAGATGCCTATATATGGTATTTTTATTTCTTTTTAAACTCCAAAGGAATTTGAACTGCTCGATTACATCTGATTTGATTGGCATTTTTAGATTCGCTTTTCCAATGTATTTCAATCCTTATGCATACATACATAGCACTAAACAGTAAACACACAGTGTAAATATGCTCCAAAATCCAGAGGACCTGACTCTAGACTCCAGAGTCTAGACTCCAGACTCCAGACTCCAGACTCCAGAATCCAGACTGTTACACGGTCATTGTCGGTCAACACAAGGTCAAAAAGTCAACATTGTGCATTCAGCCTCCATGACATGTGTAAATACTTAACTAAATAGATACTAAATAGATAGAAACCAGAATAGTCGCATTTGATAATTTGTAATGACGCTATTTTTTTTCTAAAAGTCGCAATAAAACTAACTCTTTCTTGAAAATTGTCAGTAAGTTTGGGGGTTACTCATGCGGACTAAACCAAAAGGAGGAGCCGTACTCGGTACTGTGCTGAGTTGTTAAATAGTCGAGTCTGACTCTGTTTAAGCATGACGAATTGTCAACTTAGTTTGCTAGAAACATCAACCGGGTTTTTCCTCTATAGTTACTTATTGTTCAGTGTACAACAATTTTCACTTGGATACTGAACGATAACAAACATCAAATATTTTCACATAGATTTTAGTAACTATTGTACATAAGAATATATCACAAAGTATAATTAAAATCAGTTGCTCTAAGCCAAATATAATAGACTTTATTTAGGTATGAGCTTATTTCTTTAGTCTTAAATATTTATTTTCTATTTCGCAATGCTCAGCTCTACAGATAGCTCAGCAGGCTGTACCAGAACTAAGTGGGCACGTCTCGCTCTCTCTCTCTCTCCGGCGACAAGTATGACCGTTTGAATGCTGATCTGTACTTGGCAGCTCTTGGTGACTACAAATGGGACTCTATTCTCAATTACTGCGAGCTCCTGAAACCTCCATCTAATCCTGGCGACAAACCTGTCCCTTGTGAGCCTGCTCGCGTTGACAAAAGAACAACTGAATTCCGCAATATGAAGAAAGCATTGATATCATATCGCGCTACACGCAATCTACTCATACGATCTTTTTCTGATGAGCCTCGCAAAATGCTCAGCAAATACATACTGATGAAGAACCCATGGACCATTTATGACATTATTAGTCACGCATACTTCCACAAGTCAGTCAAGGTCTCCCAGTCAATCAATATGGCATACCTTCAAAAATTCCATGTCGGGTTTGAGGAAGATTCTTGTGCCTGGGCCATTCACTGCCAGAAGCTTCAAGCTGATACTACTATCCAGGGCCTCCTCTTTACCGGAAATTTAATTAACGACTGTTATCGTACTGGTCTTTCGCAGGAAGACCAGCAGCAGGCCCTTCAATGCATGACGGACAACGCACTTCGGCCTGCGCTCACGCCCGTTCTCTTGTATGATCTACTAGACAAATGGTACAGTATCAACCCTGAACATCTCACTGCAGCCTAGCGGGCATTCCGCGCAACTGCTCGTTGTCTCGAAGTGGCTCGTCGTCCTAACGGTCGCGTTCAAACATGCTTTGTTTGCTGGAAAACTACGCACCATTCCTCCAAACGCCCCATTGGCTGTTGCCGTTGTGAGGTAAAAGGTCTACAACAACAACGCAACACGCCCAGCTGGTTCACTCCAATGCACCATTTGCAACAAAATGGGGCATAACAATATTTGTTGCGGCCATCAAACAATTAAAAACAACATCTGTAACCCCTTTGTTGCTCGAATTACTATTGATAATACACTAAGCAAGCCTAGTACTGCTATGCTAATTGATGGAGGTGCCTACAGTCAATTATTTAAATACTAGTGTACGATCTTTATTGGCTTCTCGCGAGCGTGGTCGATCTTCTCTTATCCTCGCCGATAACTCCGAAAAGGTCATCACGGAGCGTGGTATTTTGCCTGGCCTGAGTCTTACGTATTTAGACCCCGCCATTTGACAATCCCTTGTATCCCAAAATTGCCTTTAAGATCACGGCTTCCGGCTCAGTTTCCTCTCCAAACAGCCGACCTGGGAAATATTCCATAGTGCCCCTCACTTTCCAACGCTTGTTTGTCGACCTTAACACTCGCCAGCATCGTACCCCACACGATCCTGCCTGTGCACAAGCTGGTCGACCAAAAGATGCTGACCCAATCTTTTCCGGCGAAGACATATCCATGCACTCAGACCATTCTCTCCTCGATCATGTGCTACCGATCATTATTTATATATTTTGCCCGACCACTATATTTCCCCCGCAGCTATTACTTGCCATACTAACCAGTTAGCTCCATCCGCTACGTCTCTGCCCCTGGCCACTGTTCAGGCTTACGATCAATACCACCGAAATAATGGTCACAGAAGCGGCGACACTACGCTACGCATGGCTGCTAAAGATAATGTCACCCTGACTCGTCCCCCGCCCCTCATGGTTACCACCGAGGCGTGGATGCTAAATCAAAATGATTGGCAGCAAGCTATGATATTTGTAGACTTCTCGCTCACTATAGACGTATGCGCCTCCAGCTCAAATGCACAACTTTCTCGATTTTCCGGTCCTGAAGCAGGCATTGTCAACTGCTACATAAAGGTCGACTACGTCCACGAGCGCGCTTACGGCAACCCACGCTGGACTGACATTCATTACTTCCTCAAACTCCATAGTCGTCGCTATGTGCGTCCCTTGATGTCTACACCTGCGCGACCTGGCTGGTGGCCACTTTTCGTCTATCACATTCAGCGCGATATCCATAACAGCGCCAATGCATTCTTATGTCACGATAAAACCGTTGTCGGTAAACCTACTTGGATTTATACCCTTGTAGCTCTCATTGGCTCCATTCGCATCGCTGTTGACCCCAGTCCTCAGCTTCTTACAACGATAACTTACGCTCGGGCTCACCCTGAGTTTTCAAAACACTGTCCAGTTTGTCAAGAGAGAAAACTCACAAGCAAGCCCGTCAAGCTTCACGTGGACCTCCAGAGAATTATGCCTAACGACCGATACGGTCACCGATACGCCCTCAATATGTTTTGCAACGGTACCCGTTTTTACTTTCACTCTGCCCTCCCAGATAAGGCAGACCCGACCAAAGCTCTTCTCACTCTACTTGTTCAAATCCCAGCACATTACCGTCTCCATACTATCCGCGCCTATGGTGACAACGTTTTCCAGAGCCAAGCCACCCGTGACATGTTACTTTCCCGTGGTATGACCCTCCGCAAATCACCTGCCAACACGCCCCAGCTTAATGGAAACGTGGAAAGCTCTTATCGCACTTTAAATGAGCTCATCACTCTTCTTCTCCTGGACTCACTACAACCAATTGGTCTCTGAGTGTAATAGCCGGGCCTCCACATTAGACTCTATGTTATAAACGTACTCTTAAGCAGTACGTAAACTATAAACGTACTCTTAATAGTACGAGGAACCTAAGTTTCCTAAATGGGTTTCAACGGTTTTATTAATTAATACCTTTTCCATTTTACACATCAGATATTTGAACAAGGCCATTAAAAGGCCACAGTAAAATACCAAACATAAGAGTTGGTCTAGTTCTATTAATAGAACTATATTTATTTTCCAAATTTATTTATATCTGAATACTTCGGTAGCGAGATGGCTCAACCGAATATAGGTTTCTAGGGACTATTAACGTTACCTAGTCTATCCTCCGTTCAGCCAATCAGATGTGCCAGTCTGATGAAGGCTGAGTCGGTAATTCTTGATAAGTGGCAAGTTATTGGTTAATGCAATAACTAAGGACATCAAGGGTATTTCTTTTTCTTTTTTTTCTTCTTTTTTTCTAAAGATAGGATTCTATGAGTCTCTTTGATTCGCCCCAACGAAACGTACCATAGTTTCTAATAGAGCGACAACGAAACACTAAATAAAATCCCTTCGGCGAAAAGAGTACTGAGAGGATTATATATAGGCAATGTCTCAGGCTCACAATCCCTCAGAGTATACCACTTTACTAAAAGACTCATTTCGTTTATTTACTTTGAAATTATCAAGATACTTAGATTTTACCTACGTGTTTAATTATTCTCAGGCGCTAATATCGCCTTGAGAGACCGAATCTTACATGGGCACATGCCAAGGCCTACGCTGACATGGTTCGAAATGAGAACCTTGCCATCGCCGACCGCCTCTACTCGCCATCCGACAAATGGCACGGTTGCACAATTCCCTCAGGCTCGTTACGGATTGAAGCCAAGGGTAAACATAAATATGACTCTCCGGCTGGCTTCGGTGCCTTTCTTGGGCGTGAACCCAATTGCACGCTCGATACTTGGAAAATACAAAATTTTGCAACCCAGCGCGAGCATTGTTTTCACGATGTCCAGCTCCTCCCCGATGAACTGCCTCAGTGGAACTCTACGGTCAAGCGTTGCACACAAACTTCTACACTTTCAAGCTATACCATTGTCCCCGACAATTGGTATCATCTGGACTCCGCTACTACAGCTTCAGTACCGCATGTTCCTCTCCTGCCGCCAGCCGTCGCGACCTCACCTTCTACGTCTCCACTTGCGTCCGCGCCACCTTTACTCGCCCTTCCCCCGGTTTTTGCCCCTCCATCCTACATCGTACCCAGCTCGACTCGTCTACCTATAGTAAGCGCCTCCCCTCTGGCAACCTCCGCTATGCCTTCCACCGGTCTTGCTACCCCTATTACCCCTTGTGATGCACCGATCTCCTTGTCCTTTCACCCTTTCATGGGCCTACCGCCTGTTGTCTACCCTTCTGTATACAGTGAACCTTTCCGTTATAATATCCCCAAAGGTCCTATTATGAACTATCAGGCTTAGCTCGAGAATCAACGCAACCAACCTACCTTGGTACAGCAACACCCACCTTCTCCTCGTGTCCATACACCAGTTGATAATATGTCTCTCACGGCACGTGACGGTTCTGACCAATTCGATACTGATGATCTCGATTTCCCCCACTCCCCACAAAGCTCTCAATCATCTGTTACAATTCTCGACGACGACCTCTTCGATGACGGAATTGACTCGCCCCAGGACCTATCTGATAGCTCTGGCACCCCATCTCCTTCGGGTATCGAGTCTACTGCTGAGCTCAGCGATTACTCCGCCGACGTTGACTTCCTTCACTCTGCTCATCTGTTCGCACGTTCAGCAACCATAGACCTTACCATTATCACCCCCCCCCCCCCCCCCCTTAGCTATCGGCCCTTCTAGACACTACTCTTCCCCGTACAGTTAAGCAAGCTCAGAAATCTCCAGCATGGCCCAAATGGCAAGTCGCTATCGCCAATGGAACATGGACATCGCGTCAAAACTTGCGGTCATTAGCTTCGCACGCGCCGCGGCTGATGAATCTGTGTGGTATCACAATGCTGGATATAAAATCCTACTCATCATCTATGTAGAATTGTGCCTGCTATACAACGCCGCTCCGGAATGGAAAAATGGCTATTCCGTGCCCTTAGTGCTCACTATTCTATGAAGAACCTTGGATTAGCTTGTCACCTGGTCGGATAATGTATTCGTCAACTTCCTCAGTCTATCATTCTGAATCAGACGGCCTACGTTGACCACACATGCTATCGGCCTTTAACAAGCTCGACGGCATCCCCAAGTATACAATCGGCGACGGTGTTCACCCGGCTTCTCTCGAAGGACCACCCTATACTGGTCATGACTTCCGCAAAATTCTTGGTGCCCTCGGATTCGCCGCTAACATGACCCGATTAGACATCGCGACCTGTCTTAACCAACTTGCGACCTTCACTGCCAATCCTAATGTTCTGCATTTCAATGCTCTCAATCGGATCTTCCACTATCTATCCACTACCCGTGATTACGCGTTAGTCTACACCCGCTCCACTTCTACTGCTGATCCTCTCGTAGCCTATACAGATAGTGACTGGGGCGGATGCCACAACAACCGCCGTTCCCCAACTGACACCGTCCTTTGCTTTAATGGCACCACAGTGTTTTGGAAGTCTCAGAAACAACGTACTACTGCTCTTAGTTCAGCTGAAGCCGAATATGTTGCCTCTTCTGAACCCGCTCGCAGCATCTCATGGCTACGCAACATTTTTGTGACCGTGCACATCCCTCCCAGTGGCGCTACTATTATGTGGGCGGACAACCAGTCCGCCATTAAAATTGCGTTAGGTAGCGGCACCCCGAAGGGACTAAAGCATATTGCTATCCGATACCACTGGGTACGTGATTGCATTCACCAAGGCATGCTTACCGTGTCGTACATATCCACTATTGACAATCTAGCAGATCTCCTCACCAAATCTCTTAGTCGCGACAAATACGAGACTTTCAGAGATCAGTTAATGAAAAACTCACCGGTTTAGTTTCCGGGGGGGTTTAAGCATGACTAATTGTCAACTTACTTTGCTAGAAACCTCAACCGGGGTTTTCCTTCATAGTTACTTATTGTTCAGTGTACAACAACTTTTACTTGGATCTGAACAATAACAAACATCAAATATTTTCACATAGATTTTAGTAATTATTGTACATAAGAATATATTACAAAGTATAATTAAAAATCAGTTGTTCTATTAAAGCCAATTATAGTAGACTTTATTACTCTGAGAGACTCGGCCATCCAGCATTTACCTGAATTGAAATTCTGAACCCGCGGTGCCGGTACGTTGTGTCAACTGGTTCACTGGGACTGTCAAGTGTCAAAGGCTCAGAGCACAAGTGACACCTAGTGTAGTTCGAGTAGTTCGGTACCTCCTATAATTTATTACACGCCCCAATAGACCTATAAAAGAGTTATATTTTAGAACAATTTTCAGCAAGCCGGGACGAGCACGTTTCGGTCCTGCATTTTCAGTTCACACTACATAGTTAAATCAACAAAGCGACTGTACGTGTGTCTATTACGGCGTGATCGAGGTCTTTAAAGGAAAGCTTACTAGTATATGGACACGGGGTATTATTCTACATAGCAGTCAGTGCTTATCGTGATCATAAGAAATATGATAGGATGACTAGGTGCGCTGCAGTGTATTGTAAGGATACATGTACCAAGGACAACCCCATGTATAAAATGCCGAAGGAAAAAGCTATTCGTAAGAGGTGGTTGGTGAAACTAGGTAGGGTGAAAGAGAGTGAGAGTATTGGTACCGTAAGCATATACCGGACAAGTACATTGTCAAAAAGAACAAGATCGCTCACCTGACAAAAGAGGCGATTCCGATGATCCAAAAACAGTTTATGGCAGCAAGAAATAGACTGCTTCAAGAGAGTGAAGATCACGCCCAGAAAGAGTTGGTTAAATGTGTGATTGTGTATGAGGATCCAATGAAATCCAGTTAGACTGTGAGGCGTAGAAGCGATCCCCATAGTCACAAAATTGGAACAACCCACCGACCAGCCCACCTAAGGAAGAGAATAATCAATCACACACCCCGCAGTTGAATAGGCACGAGCTCGAATTGGAACTTAAGGCAGGCTTTAGATAGTGCTGTCCATAATCTAGCACAAGCTAATAGTACCGTTGAAGCTTTACAGCGTGCTAAAGTGTAATGTAGTAGACTTTGAATGAAGTGCAAATGTATGTATTTATTTCTGACCTCACCTTTGGTTTTATACCTAAGGTGTTTGTGCTAATGTTCAGCCGCTTGGGCTGGCCAGGATTAAAACTTATATGGTCAGTAAGAGAAACCTTATGTAGAACACTTTAACACTGCTGTAAAAATAGCGGGTTCCTAATAGTAGTTGCACAGGTAACGTATATTATTAACGTATTAACGTATTAACGTTTATACTTATAATACTGGAATACGTTTATCGAATTGGACATGAACAAGAACTGAAAAATTCAAGATTCTGAACATGTGACAGTACTCAGTAGAGTATGGGACTCTACTGTGGACAATTAGGTGGCTTTCCAAAAATAGATTGGTTTTTCCACTGAAATTAGAATTGTACATCAAATAGGAACGACACCAATCTGACACCTGAAAATGTCACTTTGGGAATCTCTAATTAATGGGAGTACCATGAGAGAGGGTCTCAGGTATGAAATGGTTATTGGTGCAAACCTATGGTATAATTCGATAATGATCTCTCCACTGAGAAAAGGACAGGATCAGAGTTGTTAGAATTTAGGACAACATGGTTTTGATTCCTCCTAGCCAGCCAACTAGATGTGCCCGTCTATGCCTTAAATGGGATGGGGAGCTAGGTACCAAGTGATGGGGTCTAGGTGCAGATGTATACTGCACTAGCTTGATGTTTTGATTTTATTTTTATTTTCTTAAGTTGGACTGAGAGGTATTTTATTGGTTAGTATGATTAGGTGATTGTTTCGAGGCGTGAAATGTAAACTAAGCGTCCAATGAAATGATATCTGGTCTTAGTAACTAAAATAGAAATAAATCTAGACCGAAGTAGTGAGTGATTAGAGCGGAGCATATAGACAATAGTCTCAGTCTAAAATCCTCTAATCTTTTGCTCACTACCAAGGGCTGAAGCTATACTTATTTAACATTTTGCATTTTAACGTATTAACGTATTGTCTTATTAACGTAAATATCTTGGTATCGTATAGTCAGCCTAGAGGAGACCGACTTTTACACTTCGATGCTTTTCTATTTCAACTTGTCTGCAACTAAATTTCATGCTGATCACATGATGCCTTTCCGCATAGGTTGTGACTCACATAGAACCGCGGCTATTATTAGAATGTTGCGGTTGACAGGCTTAATCCACTCTCGGAAATCGGTTGAGAAACTTAATCTGCTCTCGGAAATCAGATAAATAATAACTCAACTTTTGGGAGTAATTTAAGCAACTTGATTAGCTCTCGGGAGTGAGCTTACTCTGATGACTTAGCTCTCGGGAGTGAGCTTACTCTGATGACTTAGCTCTCGGGAGTGAGCTTACTCTGATGACTTAGCTCTCGGGAGTGAGCTAACTCTGATGGCTTCCATAAATCAAAGATGGTTTCTTGCTGTAAAATCTGGACTGAGACCTGTATGAGCATGCACACAATTGAGGAAAGAGACCAATGGATTGAGTCAAGAGATAAAACACAAGGAAGATCAACTTGATAATCTGCGTTATAAGTTTTGTGATATGAGTGTTAACACTCATAAATCGAAGGTCTTTCAAGTTAAAATATCGTTACAAACACGACAATGCAGAAAGTGTTCGCTACTGGACTCGGTTTCAATCGACCAATGTAAGATTCGGACTATCAAGGCGATATTAACGCCTTAGAGTAATCAAACGCTTAGGTTAAGTCTAAGTATCGTGAAATTCGAAGTAAATAAACGAAATGAGTCTTTTGGTAAAGATAGGTGTGCCTCGTGAAAATAGCAATACTCTGAGGGATTGTGAGGCTGAGACATTGCCTATATATAATCCTCTCAGTACTCTTTTCGCCGAAGGGATTTTATTTAGTGTTTCGTTGTCGCTCTAATAGAAACTATGGTATGTTTTCGTTGGGGCGAATCCGAGAGACTCATAAAATCCTATCTTTAGAAGAAAAAAAGAAGAAGAAAAAAGAAAAATTAGTTATTGCATTAACCAATAACTTGCCATTTATCAAGAATTACCGACTTAGCCTTCATCAGACTGGCACATCTGGTTGACTGAATGGAGGATAAACTAAGCAACGCTAATAGTCCTTAGAAACCTATATTCGGTTGAGCCATCTCGCTACCGAAGTATTCAGACATAAATAAATTTGGAAAATATATATAGTTCTATTAATAGAACTAGACCAACTCTTATGTTTGGTATTTTACTGTGGCCTTTTAATGGCCTTGTTCAAATATCTGATGTGTAAAATGGAAAAGGTATTAATTAATAAAACCATTGAAACCCATTTAGGAAACTTAAGTTCCTCGTACTATTAAGAGTACGTTTATAGTTTACGTACTGCTTAAGAGTACGTTTATAACATAGAGTCTAATGTGGAGGCCCGGCTATTACACCAAGAAGTTTGAAGCTTTCATGGATCGGCTGGAGGAACACGGTGAGAAATACAACCCAGGAGCCAGAACGTTTGCTTTCCGGGACACAATACATCTGTGGTTTACACGCGTCCGTCAAAATCTTGAGTGCGCGCTCGAATGTTACGGCTATCTGAGGAGCTGTGCAAAGCAGCAGAGGATAATGACATACCGAGAGCAGAGGCGCTGCGGGGCATTAAAAACCTTGCGCGTCACACATGAGTCGCGACCAGTTGGTGAAAA